TAACTGTTCAATAATTGATAAATCTCACGAGCATAATACTAACCCATCAAGACAGTTATTTATTGATATATAACCCCTAATATTCTGATTAATTAGACCATCAAAGAAATTGCATACTCTTATTTATTAATGACTAAGAAAATGTTAGTTTTGAAAAAAAAAAAAGTCAAATCCGGAAGATTTTAACGTCATAACAAATCTGTAAATTTAGAATTTAAGTAACTGTTCCATATGAAAAATATGTGGATAGTCATTTTAGAAATTTAGTATATTTAAATAAAAGATAATAAGCAAAGTGACAAATTTTTAAAGATAGAAATGCAAATGGCATGACGAGTCAATTCTTTTTTTCTCTTTTTTTTTAACGTGTTGTCTCAAATACTAAAATAACAACCCAAATCTTTACAGATTTTAAACCTACCAAAGACTTAAAAAATTTTAGGCAGGACGGTGCAGAGTGATATGCTATTAAAGATGAAAATGAAGATGGAATAAGACTCGCTGGTTTTTCTTTTTCATTTACTTGGTTCAACGAGTTGTTAAAAATACTAAAATAGCAGCCAAAGGCATTGCAAAATAACATACTGTTAAACATGAAAATAAATATGAAATGAGACTTTTCTGTAAAGATTTGGTTCAACGGACTGTTAAAAATACTAAAACAGCAACCAAAGTCATTGGAAAATAACATGCTGTTAAGGATGAAAATAAATATGAAATGGAACTTCTCTTTTTTCTTTTTTTCTTTTTTTTTTTTTGGTTCAACGGGCTGCAAAAAGTATTAAAATAGCAGCCAAAACCATTGCAGGTATTTAACCTACCAAAGACTCAGAATCTTTTAAGTGACACAATGTAGAGTATATGCTATTAAAGATGAAAATAAAAATATAATTAAACTTGCTGCAAGAATTTTCATAATTAGATAGAACTATCAAAAAAATTTTCTTTAGAAAAGTAAGTAGTGCTTGGTTCTTTTTTTGTTCCAACAGGCTATCAAATGTTTTGAGAAATAGCCAAAATCATAGCAGGTTTTTAACCAAACACTCGAAGCCTAGGCATGACGATACACAGTGACATGCTGTTAAAGATAAACATGAAGATAAAATGAGACTAGCCAGTTCATTTTATTCTTTTCTGTTTAGTTCAACGGGTTTGCCAAAAATACTAAAAGTAACTGGTAAAATTATTGTAGATTTTTAAGCTATCAAAGAATTGGAACCTTTTAAGTGGGACGATATAGAGTGGCATACTGTTAAACATGATAATGAAGATTAAATTAGACCCACAATTTTTTTTTGTTTAACGGACTGTTAAAAATACTAAAATAGCAGACAAAGCCATTGCAAGCTTTTAATCTACAAAAGACATACAATTTTTTAAGTAAGACGATGGAGAGTGACATGTTGTTAAAGATTTAAAGAAAAAGATGGAATAAGACCAACTCGAAGACAACCCTTTCATAATTAAATAACAGTAGCAAAGAAATTCTCTTTGGGCATGTAATTCTTTGTTGTTTTTTGTTTTTTTGGTTCAACGAACTGTTAGAAATATTAAAATAACAAACAAAATCATTGCAGGTTTTAACCTATCACAAACTCAGAACCTTTTAATAAGATCGGCGCATAGTGACATATTGTTAAAGACGAAAATAGAGATGGAATGAGACTCCCCCTCCCCTTTTTTTTTTGAATTGATATGTTGACAAGTGTATTTGGATGTGATGATCGATTTTTTATGTAATGATAACCCAATTAAAACATAGTCAATTTCAATCTCTTTTGATATGTCACTAAATAATGATTATTTTAATTTTTCCAAACTTCATTATGCGTATGGATATTAATCTTATGACATAATAGTGCCGGTTAAACTTAAGTGAAGACAATTCCAAATCATTGCATAGTTTGCGACGACAACCAAATAAAGTATCAGGCAATCGCTTTCGCAGGTAATATTATCAGACCCGGAAAGGAAGAGGAATCGATGAAATTAAGGGGTCACTGGGGCACTGGGTCGATGAAAAAGGATTAGAGGGTATGACGTCATATATAATTTTAAAATTTAAAATATATAAACTATGTGAAATCTAAAGTTATTAATACTAACTTTTTAATTTTTTTTAAATTTAAATAAAACATAACAATTTAAAAGTAAGATAAGACAAAAATAATTAATTTAAATAAATAAATTTAGAGTTGTAATATTTACTTTAATTAATTTAAGGTAATATTATTTAAACAATAATGTATTTCACATTTTAATTTTGATAATCATTGATATAAGATCAAAATACAGGTCTCAAAAAACTATAAAGCTTAAATTAGGAGTTTACACAACAAGAAACCAAAAAAAAAAGGGCCTACAATGCACAAAAGGAAAAATTCAATACATGGAAAAAGACAAAATCGGGATCAACCGGTTCAATTCGAACCCCGGTCGAACTGCAAGTTTGACCGGGTTTAGACCGATTTGTAAAAAATTTGGGTTTTAATATAAATCAGACATGCAATATGACCAGTTCACAATTGAAACGTCTGATCGGCCTGTCCAATCCAATTTTACAACATTATTTGCAGGTGTCTTTATTTTTGCATCGCTGATAATAATAATAAAATCCATTTTATTATAATGTTAATGGTTGTATTTTGATTATAATTTTGAAGATAATAATGGATTTTATTATTATTTTGATTTAAGCAGTAAAAAGTGAAAGGTGGACCGTCATAGATTTTTTCTGGCTGTTTTACGACGTTGGAGTTAAAAAGAAGTTGAGAAGAATCCAGCTGAAAAAGATTTATTATGCAGATGATTTAGAGAAGATATTAATCAACCATTATTTGCAAAAATTTTGACTGGTTGGTTAAATGCAGAAGATTTATTGTTGGATATATATTGAAGAATGATTCTTTACAAGTTGGAAAGTTGAAATATTTGACCAGATTTTTTAAAAATCTCGCAACCAAATTGGAGGTTAAGTTTAGATATGATATTCAGATTCCTACTCTGTTCGAAATCTAGTTCGGCCAAACCATTATAAATAGACTTTGTGGATGATTGAAAAAAACCACCCCTGTAGCTTGCATTTTTTGGTTGCTACTACTCTCTCCATTTTTGCCACCATTTTCATTTAGCATTTTGTTTTAATTTTTTTTTAACACCTTTAAAGATGTTTCTAGTCACTATGAGTGGCTAGTTTTCTTCATTTGGTTCAAGAATTTTTATTCTTTGATATTATATGTGAGACTATAAGTTTCACTTTATTTTTTCTACTTTTAATTCAAGTACTTTTTTATTTTAATTTCTTTTTATGAGAGTAGATACTTGATTAATCTGACAATTTAATCAAGTATTTTCTGCCTACTGCTACCAAATTATTTATGCTGCGTTATCGTCTTAAACATTTGGCGCTAAATAGCACATTAGCAGATTATGCATATTGGTAGGGACACGTTGAATGTGCATAATAAGTCTAACTAGGAGATCAATAGGACAAAAATATTTTAATTGCAGCTATCTCAATTATTTTAGTTTTTAGTTCAATTAAATTTTTAAAGTTTTTATTGCTAGTATAATTTAACATGGAACGCTATCGTGCCCAGTTAAATTATACTAAGTTTTGATTAGGTGCTGGGCTTGGTCAAATATTTTTAGAAAATATAAGGCTTTTTACGGCTATCCTATTAAGCCTACGGTTGAATGCTTGAGTTGTAGAAAAATGTATTTTTAGTCGATGATCTATAATATATTTGAATCATTCCTTGAATCAAAGTTTTTCTATTATTAATTTTCTCTCCATTTTTATTTACTTCAAATTGTCATTTTATTTTAAAGAAGAAAAATCCCCCCTGTTTGTATTTTTGTAAAGCCAAGTGTTAAAAGTCGGCTCTCTTGGGATTCGACCTGATTCCACTATTTTTACAAATTAATTTTGGTCTGTTAGGAAATCAGATTAATTTTTGAGGCTCTCGACAAACCCGCCAATCGCCCAGTCTTTACACATGTCCAGCTATACGTTACTCTTTTCAGGGTGAAATCCAGAGCATGTCTTAAAAATCTTTATTTATAACAAGAAGGGTGAATTCTGCACAATGAAGAAAAATGTGGTTTATAAAGAAATCGTTGAGAACATATAATATTATAGTGAATGTTTTTATTACTATTTTTTTTTACTTTCTTTTTAAAATAAGATCACAATTGTTTGATTTTCTCCCATATTTTCTCTTTTGCACAACTATTAAATTTTATTACACATGTACTGTTTTATACATGTTATAAACAATATCTAAATTGAATCATCATTCATATAAATATCTAAATTTTTCTAACAGATAGTACATCGATGAAATATTTCAAAGAAGCAAATTTATATATTAGAAGGGAGAACTTTGTAGCACAACAACAAATGTTATTTACAAAGAAACTCTTGAAAATGTATGATGCAGTCATCATTTTTTTTTTTTTGGTTCTTTCTCTGTTATTGATGTCACAATTTTTTTTGCAAATTAATATATCTGAATTCATGTTTTCGGCATATAGTAAAGCATACATTCTCTAAAACTTTTGTATATTTTACGTTTTGATCAATCTGTTTATTGGAATAATTTCAAAGAATCAAATCTGTCTTAACTGTGCAATGCACATGCACAATACTCCTTCCATTCCAAAATAAGTGTCGTCCTACGCTTTGCACATAGTTTAAGAAACTCTTAAATAAGGTAATAAAATTACTTGAATATTTCTCAACCAACCCCATTATAAAATTGTCCACCAATAGCATCAACTTTCTTTAGGATAATTTTGGAAACTTTTGACAAAAAGTGCATTGAAATGTGAGAACGACACTTATTTTGGAATTTCTCCATTTTGCTAAAATGATACTTATTTTGGAATGGAGGGAGTACTAGTTTGTTAAACAGTTGTTTGATTTCTCTAACACGATTGAAAAACCCGAGGTGAGTAATATTATTAATTAAAGAAAAATTAATGAATCTGAGGCTTATTAAAATTGCAAATGCGAAAGCATTCTTCAATAATTTCCAAGTAACATCAAAGTGCTGAAGTGGTGGAGTGTGAAGTGTGAACCACAATATTTTGAACATTTCAAATCAGCCTATAAATAGTAAAAAATCCCCCAAAAATGTAAAACAGAATTATCCTGCATCTGTAAACGAATCTTCTCGTGTTAGCTTGTATAGAGCCTTTTGTTTTTGAACCTTTTTGAGCTTTGACCAAATCTAAATCCCCTGCAAATTCACCAGAACCACCGCCGCCTACCGCCGTCGATAATTTCCCGATTCTCAGCTCCCAGGAATTTACAAAACCGTCAAAAAAACCCAGCAAGAATTTTTTTTATCTCAAGATGGAATCAGAAACCACCGCATTCTCCTTCTCAGATTTCCCAGAAGATGTGCAGCTCTGCATTTTGTCATTCCTCAATCAATCGGAGCTGTCCACATTTGCATCCACCTCCAAACGCTTCCTCTCAATGTGCCGCGATGACGAGAGGCTCTGGTTCTCTCTGTGCGACCGAAGGTGGGGCTCAAACACCCTCATCAACAAATGGGGCAATGGGAAAATCTCCTACAAACATCTCTACGGAACCCTACATGAATTCGAAAATCTCATTGGTTTCTGGCGCCGTAGCGGAATCGCCGGAAACTCGCCGTCGCTGGTCTTCTTTGAATGGGGTCCATTTTATATCATGGGCTCCAGAGTTGAACCCTCCAAAACTGGTACCTATGAGGTAATCAAGATGCCTTTCTTATGGATAAGTTTATCTTCCAAGGGTGAGTTTAGAAATTATATTGATCCTGAGGGGAAATTTGAGTTATCTGATACTGTTGTTGTTGATTCGGGTGAATTGGGGATTATCGATTATGAATTGATTCCTGTCAATGTGAATTTCATGGGGAAATGTCATGTTGTAATTGAGGCAAGTGTGAATTCTCCTCATGGGCAGAGCTCGAGTTCAAGTTCTAGTCCAAATAAGGAGTTCATGAAGGTACCTAGTTCAGGGAATGTAAGAGGGGAGGATAGGGAGGATCTAAGTGGATCCCCTGGTAGTTTTCCAGATCGCATGATGTCGGAAATTTATCAGCACTTTGCAAATTGGACGAGTCCAGGTGGAAATGGTTTGTCAAGAAGACAGAGAAGGAGGGAGAAGGAAAGGCAGGGACGGAGAAAGATGGAGCCCGAGCATTTGGTGAAGATTGTGAACTGCTCCCCCACCCCTGCTCGACCTCTGCAGGGTTTATGGAAGGTAAACTTTTTATGAGTTAAAACTTAAAAGTACTCTAGTTTATTTTAGTAGATTGAATCATGTGTTATAGTTATAAGTTTAGACTAATCTAAAGAACTCTGCTGGTTCAAGTATGGTGGATTGTTCAAATAGATTATTGGGGATTGATTCTGGCATTGCTGAACGAGTGAACGCAATATAGTTTAGGGACTTAAAAAAACTTGGCTTGGTTGTGGTTTATAAGCTTGGTTTTTGTGTTCAATTTGCTCAATGCTACATCTCATTTGATTTAAAGGATTCATCCTGGTATAACGTGATCTTCACCTTTTATTCCTCCATGTTATTGATGCTTCATTTGCTTGGTTATGGTTCTCAACTTTAATCGATCAAAAAGATTTGACCTTTGAAATAAAGTATCGATCTTGGCAATAATTCGTAAGCTGTTTGTGATTGTCTGGAAAATCTTAAGAAAGTTGGCGGTTAGTTTTGGCATTCTGTGTTACCTCATATCAAATATTTGGAAGCATTGAGGAATGAGCATGAAATACAATCAAGAACAATATATTCAGATTGAGTAGCTGAATCAAGTACAACGTTTTATAGCTTTTGTTTAACTTTTTCATGGTAATGTATTATTTAATGGCAAGGGAGTGAAAGTCATTCTTGTTGGGGTTTCCCTGGCTTTAAGTCTCCTTTATGAAACAGTTTTTGTAATAGTACTGAGCTCATGATTCTGTTTGAATGTTCCATCTTCTAAATCGTCGTAATACTCTATGGGAGTTTTCTCCTGTTTTGTGTGTTGTGATGGTTGGGGATCTATCATTTTTCTCTTATTGAAAGTGACATTAATGGATTCTTACGCATCTGTAATGTGCTGTGGTAACTCTTGCTTCCATGGTTCCAACACCTTTTCGTAACCAGTGTGCTTCAAAGACTCCATTGTTGCTTTGTCTGTAATTTAACCAGCTGTTTTTTGTGGTTAACTCGTTGAATATATCTGAAAAACTAATTTAAGTTGCGCATTTTCGTTACTTATTATGTCTAAATTGTACTCCTTCTGCCCCAAAGTGAGTATAATGTGTGTCTTTCCCGAATAATCTTGCTCTCTCTAGAGTCGTGACACCACCTGACTCTTTTTTGTTCATAGCATTGTTACTTTCTCCTTGCAGTGAAATGTCTAATGCTTTCCTTTTCACTTTGTTACTCTAGGGCTTTTCTGATGATCTGAGCTTGGACTTTTATTTGACAACCTATGACGACATTGGGGGTCTTGCTTGCCGTAGGGTTGGAGATTCCTTTAGTGGTTATAACCCTGTTTTTTGGACATCAGATACTACATTATCCGAGCCTCCCTTTCCTGCCCAAGAAGAATATGAATACGAGAATCGCATACACTTAAGGCCCCCTGCAGAGGCTGATGGGTGTCTAGTGCTGCGGTACTCACGTTACGATACTGTTACCCGCATGCTTCACATGACCTCGAGCTATGATTTGGTTATTCCAGGCTCAGTCATAAATCCACGGCAGGTTGAGGGAAGAATTTGGCAATATGGGAATGGTACTTATGGATTTGGATTTCTTCGAAACAATTACATTATAGATCTGAAACATGTAGCTCAAGGTGGGCGCCTTTTAGATACAATGGAATTTTCTAGCAATTGATCCTTTATAGATATAACTCAGAAAGCATAATCATGAATGGGGTGCTGTATCTCCATGTATTGTCATTGTACAGAATAATCTGTCTCCTTTATTTCATTGGGTCTATGTGAAATACAAGTCAGAATCTAGTAAAATGTCATTCTTTAGAACCGTCTTTGTTGGATTAGACATTATCCAAGGAGATTGAAATGCTTCATATTATATCAGATATTATCTGTGTTTGACTGCTTTACTGTATTCTTTTCCCTCCTGATTGTTTCAATGTGTGCGCATTATCCTTGTCCCTCGGCATTTATCAACTGTACACTCCTTTAGCAGATAATACACACATTTATGAGAATAAACTGTAAATCATCGGACTGATGAAGGATGAACGTTATTTGTAATAGCAAAATGATTGGATATTGAAAGCATGACCAATCAGGATGCTTGAACTTACGGAAGCTTCTCAATCTTTACAAAATCCGAATACCAAGGCAAGATGAGCTTGTAAAAAACGAAATAACATCCAGAAACACATCTTAACAAACATTAACGACTCCAGCATTCACCGGACTACCAGCCGATCCTTCAACGTGAATGACCAAATTACATCAATGTTGAGTAGTAGAAGTAAAGGAAGAGCAGCAAAAAAATTGTCTTCTGCAGAAACTTATGGTAAATTATGACTCTGAAGCAACTGGAGCAACTCCTGCTGAATTCTTCTCATGGTCGGCCTCGAGTTGGCTCAGGTTGCCTTTCTCCTTTATGAGTTGATTGTGATGATGTTTACAGTATAGACGGCCTTCATATGCAATGTAGTTAGAAGGGCTGATTGTGCATCCTCCATGAGTGCATTTGAAGCAGCTCTTGTGATAAGAGGTTCCATTCACTGACACCTTTTGGAAGTACAGTGACAAAGTTAAAAGTTCAGATACTTTACAAATGGTTCATTATCTACAGAACTGATTTGATTTCAGAAATGCTATACATACCTTTTCAGTTGGATAGACAGTCTTGCTGCACCCAAAACATTTGTCTCTTGTTCCAACAAACATGCTCGAAACCTTATTCGCCAGCGGTTTCTGTATGAAAAATAAGGAAAAAGAATAAACCACAGTTCATCAACCGAAATCGAAAATTCATCTGGTTTCTTTCATTGATTGTAAACATACCTCAATGTCAGAAGATTTCTCTGGTTTTGCAAGTTTTGGTGTCCCTGAGAAGTTGTAGATCAACAAATATTAACCCTTCTGGAGTTCAATAAAGATGTTGACTTTTTTTGCAAAGATGTTCTCATTTACCTTCAAAGCTTTTCTCCAGGCTTCCGGTTCTCTTGAAAAGCTGATCAAAATGTGGCCTGCAATAGAGAACTCCCTCGAAAGAATTGTAGTTGCCAAGCTGCAAAATTTGAGGTTTTTCATTAGCAGAAAGAAACGAATTACAAACATGGTATCAAATCTGCACCACTTTGTCCCTGATTACACTATTAATCTGTAGTTTTATTTTTAACATGTCAGAATGGATCTAAAAAACCATTACTGATCCTGAATCATCATCATCTCTAACACCTGGATTCAATTGGGGTAGAAATGAAATAAAAAAAGCCCATAATCAGGATGTTTTCTGTTGAAAACTCTGACATTCAATGCCATTTTAGACAATTTCATTCAGAATTGGCAAGTCAACTACTGGAATTCAATTCATCCAAATCCGAAGAAGAAAGATCTGTTGTAGTCATAAACAATTCTCTTCAACACGGGAAAAAAAAAAGATGGAAACTTGAAAGAAAAAAAAACAAATATCAATCAGAAAGAACTGACACAGAAAATTCAAGCTAAAACCTTAAGAGTGCCCTTGCAGTGGTGGCATCTGAAACAGGCTTTGTGATAGATTCGATTGTCTGCAGTTAACTTATCCACCAAGTACACAGTCTTTTCACAGGCCATGCATTTCTGAGTTGTGCCTGCAAATGCCATGGCTACCGAAATCCCTCTGTTTTTCTCTGTTTTTTTTTTTTTTTTCTCTTTTCCGCTTTGATAAGGATTAGGGAGAAGAAGAAGAAAGGGCGGGCTAGATAAGGAATGAGATTAGAAGAGGGTAGAGTAATGTGAAGGCGACCAAAAAAGCTGAAAGTGTAAATAATGTTTTTTTGTGGGAATCCCAGCAATGATTCCACCATGAAGCACCCAACTACCTTTTGGTAAAATAGGGCTTCTTTTGATCTTCCTCCTTTTTTTACCATCTTCAGGTTTCACTACTAGTTTACTCCATGTTGCAAATTAACAGCCATTTGGATTGAGGAACCAAAAAAGGAAACTACCATGATTATTGCGTAGTCTTTCCGTCCTAAAATATTATAACAAATGAAATAATCATTTCGAAATAGATAAATAATGCTTTCTTTTACATGAAATTTGCCCACATATTATTTTAGCCAATGAAGAGATTTATCCAATCGATGATGGTAAACTAATAAGTCAGTCCTATCTCCCGTGTAATCTCTTAATTAGATTGTGCATTTTGTTTCTCATACATTACAAATGACAGAGATAGTAAAACTAATCGATAAAATTATTTAACGATATATTAATTTATCAAATAATCTTAAACTATACTTGAATGTCACGTGTGTCTTGGATAATTTGAGTGTCTGGATATCATTACCCGAATCACCGTATTTTACAGACAGCTAAGATGACATTTTTATTTGGAAGTAAAGCTAAGATAGCATTACTGTGGAATCTAATTTGGAAAAAGTTACAAAGAGGGAGTTAGCTCATAGCTGCCCACCAGTTGAACTCATCATAATTGTTCCTTCTGTACCCATCCAAGGTTCACATGCTTGATGGAGCCCAAAAGACAAGAATTTGCCTCAAAAAATAAGAAAACAACAAACAATTTTGTTTAAGATAATTGACTTCACCTGGAATAAGATGCTGAGGTTTTTATTTGTTTTCATGTCAAAATGAACCGCCACGTTTGTGATCGTGATGAAATATCTGTCCTTTGCAAATAATTTTTTCTCCCTTTTCTTTTTTCTTTATGGCTTTAGTTGTAAGTTTGAAAAAATAACACATTGAAAAAGGGGTGATTGGCAAGAGGTGGAGGACCATATATTGTGCATTTGCACTGAGCTTGACATGTATTATATGTAAATTTGAGTTTTGAATTTGAAACTGAATTTTGTGTCAATATATTCCTCATCAGAGGGGAAATTCCCACAACCCAGTGTGATTAGTCAATAATATCAACGGTATATTTTGTGATAGAAAAATCGCTACATTCATTTATCATATATGTAAATTATATATAGGAAAAATCTAAATTATTTCATTACACTGACAATGTCAGAAAATTTTGTTTCGTAAGACAAAAATAAAATACAAAAATGGAGATGAATTCATGAATAAGAAGAACTTGATTAAAAGAAAGAAATGATTATTTAGAGCAAATGGCTGACCCTACCAAAGTCAAAGAGGAGTAGTAGTTTGTTTCAAGGAATGGAACCAGCAACAACAGCCATCATTTTGCCAACAATGTGTTAGCTGGATTTCATCAAAATATAGTTTGTCAAACAATAAAAATAACATTTGCAGTTATTTGAAAATTTTGCGAGAAATAATGCTACAGGTGGGCATTTGGTCTAGTGGTATGATTCTCGCTTTGGGTGCGAGAGGTCCCGAGTTCGATTCTCGGAATGCCCCCTTTTTACATCTTATATATATATTTTTTTGAACCTTCCCGAGCTCGAATACAATTAAATACATACACTACAGTAATCTCTAAACCCAAGCAACAAAGGCAAAAAAAAACCCCAAAATTTTCCTTCTGAATTTTTCCCCTTGTCTTCCGTTGTTTCTCGAGAAAACTGCTGTAAAGGAAGCCAAGTAACGCTTCGTACAAGATGGTGTTCGGTCAGGTGGTAATCGGTCCGCCGGGCTCAGGCAAGACCACCTACTGCAACGGCATGTCTCAGTTCCTCAGCCTCATCGGAAGGTCATTAAACTTTTAATGCTTCTATTATTTTCTTCGTATTCGATTATATCCGTCACATCTTTTAGTATTTCTTCTAGTTCGAAGTATCTTTTAGCAAGTTCTGTTAGTGTTCTAAGATTGGTCTTATGTTTATTGCTGGATGATTTTGTAGAAAAGATTATATTAATTGCGGCGAATTCTGTTCTTATGTTTTTTTTAAGTCGTTCCTCCTGAATGCAGGAAGGTTGCTGTTGTCAATTTGGATCCCGCAAACGATGCTTTGCCGTATCCTTCTTACAGTGTCGAACTTTTCACTTTGTGAATTATTTTTTTCAGTGTTTAATTGAAGATCATGTTTTCTTTTAGTTAGACAAAATGTTGTGTAGTTAGTCCTTAGGATGTAAAAGATACGAGTGTGCTGTGAACATTGAGGATCTTATCAAACTTGAAGATGTAATGGCTGAGCATTCCCTTGGTCCCAATGGTGGTGAGTGCCCGCTACTTTCTTGCGTTTTTTCAGTTTCTTTGAGTTTGATTAGGACTGTAATGCATCCTAATTGTGGAGGTCTAGATTTTTTTATTTTTGAGGGTGTTTTAGAATGATTTTTTTGAGTGAGTTTTCTGCTTACTGTTATCTACAATTTGTGTTCTCTGAGTTATAATTTGCTTAGCTAACATTTTATCCATTTTGGTTGTTTGTTTGTAGGTCTTGTTTATTGTATGGACTATTTGGAGAAGAATATCGACTGGTTAGAATCCAAATTGAAGCCTCTTGTTAAGGGTAAGTATGCTCAAAGTATACATTCATCAGTCGGCTTGATCACTTCTCTTCCTATCAGTATGTCCGTTCATTCATTTAGTTTCCACGTCACTCATTTGTTTTCTCATAGATTTATTTATTTTTTTCGTCAATCATCAAGCATTTTTCTGTTGCTTTCTCGCAAATTAACCAAGACAATGAGATTTTTGCCTCTTGGCTCTTTTGAAGTGTTTAAGTCTGCTAGTACTGTTGTTATTCGCTTATAGAATCTGGTTCTGCTGTACATACTTCTGCTAGAACTATTTTCGGTACGCATGACATTATGTTGATTTAAACTCCTGATAAAGCATGAAGGGTTTCGTTCTTGAACTCAGTTTCAGTTTCAGTTTCGACTGGCATTTATCATTTATAACTGGACGGTTTATAACCTATCATAGCAACTGGAATAATCGTTAACCTTTGAACTGAAATGCCTTTTTTTTTCAGACATTACCAAGGGTTTCAATGAGAAGTCTATTGCTGATCTGATTTTTGTGGTTTAGTATTCCTGATGTTGAAGTTTTGCATTCGCATTGCAGATCACTATTTTCTCTTTGATTTTCCTGGACAAGTGGAGCTGTTTTTCCTTCATTCAAATGCAAAGAGGGTCATCATGCGACTCATAAAGAAACTGAACCTTAGGGTATGTTTATAAATTCAATTGGATTACCACATGCCTAACCTTGCGCACTAGACCGAGATACCAGATTTTCTTCAGAATATTTCTGCAGTGTGTTTGCTCAGTAGATCCTCTTTTTTATATTTATTTTTTATTCTTTCTGCAGTTGACTGCTGTGCATTTGGTTGATGCTCATCTTTGTAGTGATCCTGGGAAGTACGTGAGTGCATTGCTTCTATCTTTATCTACCATGGTGCACCTGGAACTTCCTCATATTAACGTGTTGTCCAAAATTGATCTAATAGAAAACTATGGAACGCTAGGTTCGGTCGTTGGAATCCCCTTCCTGTGATTTTACATTTCACCTCTATTTGCGCTGCTCTTACCTCCATTTTTTTGCTTCAATTTTGCAGCTTTTAACCTGGACTTCTATACAGATGTACAAGATTTATCTTATTTACAACAACATCTTGATCAGGATCCTCGGTCAGCTAAGTACAGGTAAACGTAATTTTTGGGCCAGAGGGCAGGGGTTTTCGTTCTCATTTATGGTGGTATTTTGTTACTATCTGATACAATAGACTGGCAAATGATTCCCTATGCTTGATGAAAATAAATATCTTGGGCAACATTCCTGCTCACGTTGTTTGATGATTACGCCATATTGAAATTACGAAGACACTTTGATTTATTAGCCTTAAAGGCGAAAGAAGTAAAGAATCCCACCCCACATCCCCCAAGTAGAGATTTTAGAGTCCCCTACTTACATTTACTATGATTTGCTTAATTTGTAGAAAGCTTACGAAGGAGCTATGTGAAGTAATTGAAAATTTTGGCCTCGTCAATTTTAGTACTTTGGATATTCAGGTATTCACAATCTCTCTCATGTCTTAACATATTTGTATCCTTAGTTGTGTTCCTATTTCTAAGTTTGATTCAATTTTCAGGATAAAGAAAGCGTAGGAACTCTTGTTAAGTTGATTGACAAGAGCAATGGCTATATCTTTGCCAGCATAGATGAAAGTGCTGTTGAATTTAGCAAAATCGCTGTTGGGCCCACAGATTGGGATTATTACAGATATCCTTTTTTATTTGATTGCTGCATTTTACAATTCATTGGGAGTTTAAAATGTTCACTATGTTTTTTTTTTATTCTTGAGGCTTGAATTTTTGAGGAAACATCACTAGAAATGGAACTTCTAGTAGTCTTTTCACTGTTCAGTTGTTTGCTATCAATCATTACTCGTTTATTTTATACTCATTCTGTCCCAAAAAAATAGTCCACATCGAGTTTTGAAATTTGTACTACTTTTAGTACAAATTCAAAAGCTCGATGTGGACTATTTTTGGGGACAGAGGTAGTATTTTTTTGGGTTTTGGTTTTTTGTTTTTCTTTTGTCATTTGTTGCTTTTGATTTTGTTTTGAGCAAATTAATCTTACACATCAGATCATGTTGTGTTTCTGTGCGATGTTGTAACAAGGAAACCGAAAGACTTTTGTTCCGAATTAAACATTATCATTATCTGCACTTTGTTCTATAAGACAATAAGTGCCCCCGTGAAAATGGTAGTATTCTCTTTGTGCA